CAACATAACAACGACAACAACAAAAACAACATAACACCGACAACAGCAACAACAAAAACAACAACAACAGCAGCAGCAGCAGCAACAACAACAACAACAACAACAACCTCCATTCTTTTTAATCTTTCCCCCTCCTCCGGCACATTCCCGTCACGATGGAAGTCAGCCACTGTCATCCCAGTGCACAAAAATAAAGGCGACAGGAACAACCCGTCTAATTTCGGACCAATCTCCCTCCTGTCCTGTGTCCCCAAACTGCTAGAGAGAATAGTGTACGACCGCTTGTATGGCCATCTCCCCCCTCTTCTTTACCCCGCACAATCTGGCTTCCGTCGTAAGGACAACACATCCCTGCAATTGTTCCGCATAATCCAAGACCTCTGCTCCCTAAAAGACCACCGGCAGGTCTCCTGCATCTGTTTCTTCGACCTCTCCAAGGCCTTCGACACCGTGTGGCACAAGGGCCTGATCGCCCAACTTCGTGCCCATGGTGTCTCCGGCTCCCTACTCGCCTGGATAACCAGCTACCTATTGGACCAAAATCAGTGCGTCACAGTGAATGGAACCTTAACTGACCCCGAGTCTGGGATATGCGGAGTGCCCCAGGGCTCCATTTTAGGTCCCCTGCTCTTCCTCACATACGTTAATGACCTCCCCTATGCAATTCCCAATATTTCTTTGTTTGCCGATGATACCACTGTCCTTGCTTCCTCCCCATCTCACGCCACCCTGTACCCCAAAGTTCAGACCTGTATCAACGACATTGTTCGCTGGATGAGCGCTCGGTACCTCAAGCCAAATGTGACCAAAACCGAGCTCCTCCGTTTTTCCCCTCACACAAATCCAGTGCCAATCTTCCACTTTCCCGATGATCCCGGTCACCCTATCTCTGTAGCGCCCCACCATAAACACCTTGGCATTGTCATAGATTCCGCCCTCTCCTGGTTTCACCATGCTGATCATGTGTCGTCCAAAGTATGCCGATCTGTCGGCATAATGTCAAGACACTTGTCCCATTTTCCCCAAAATTGCCGGATTAATTTTTATAAATCATACATTCGTCCCCTCTTCACGTAAGGCTTCCCTGCCTGGTCCACCATTAACCTAAACCACATAGGTCAATTAGAAGTTCTCCATCGCCGTATACTGCGCATCATATTTTGTACTGATCGTTATATCTCAAATCTAGACTTGTATGCTGCTGCATCCACTACCACTCTGCAACACTACCTTGATGCTTCCAAGTGCACCCTGGCACATTCAATGTTTCTTGACCAGCACCCTCCTCATTTACAGTCCCTTAATTGATTTAAGTCAGGTGGCACCACCCGAAGCTGCGTTCGTCTATCCTATACGTAAATTCCCCTTTCCTTTCCTCCTACTCCACGTGGCTCCATCTGCCTCCCAGTGTTAGACCAGCTCCAGATATGCCCAAATTCCTTACCCTCGTCAGAAAGCACTTCAGTATCTCCCAGTAAACAAAATCACAGTCACCACTTCCGCTGCATAGCTCGCTGAGCATCCCATTCCCTTGTAAGTTGCTAATCCCTTCCCACTTTGTGTACGTACTCTTCATTTCTTTTCTTTTTCTCTTCTTCCGTGGTTGGTCTCACCCTCTCCTCAATTCAATTGGCTGTCTTGACATGCCACGATGTGCAGAAATAAATAAATAGATAAAATAAATAACAACAACAACCACAACAACAACAACAACAACAACAAAAACAACAACAATAACAATAACAACAACAACAACAACAACAACAACAACAACAACAACAACAACAACAACAACAACAACAACAACAACAACAACAACAACAACAACAACAACAACAACAACAACAACAACAAAAACAACAACAATAACAATAACAACAAAAACAACAACAGCAACAACAACAACAACAACAACAACAACAACAACAACAACAACAACAACAACAACAACAACAACAACAACAACAACAACAACAACAACAACAACAACAACAACAACAACAACAACAACAACAGCAACAACAACAACAACAACAACAACAACAACAACAACAACAACAACAACAACAACAACAACAACAACAACAACAACAACAACAACAACAACAACAACAACAACAACAACAACAACAACAACAACAACAACAACAACAACAACAACAACAACAACAAGGTCAATAAAAAGGGCAACAACAGCAACATCACCACCACCATCACCACCACCACCACCACCAACAACCACAACAACAAAACAACAACAACAACAACAACAACAACCACCACCACAACAACAACAACAGCAACTCGCAACAATGATGGCACGTACTCTAATTCCCTTCGACATTAGATGATTGCTGACGATCACACAGGGGAACACCCAGAATCCTATTTTAATGGACCTTTTATGTAGGTTGGAGGCTTTATTCAATTGACACTTGCAATAAAGATTAAAAGTGAATAGTACAGCCTGGTCGATAGTGAGAAACTATGGGACCAGGACGTGGATTCACCAAACTGTGGCCTGTTTGACGGAACGAATTGGGCGGCACCCTTTACGAGGACGATAGAGTCTCTTGGGAATGCCAAAGTAAATTCATTAATATAATACGAAACTCGGTGAGCCAATTAAATTATGGTGAAAAAGGAGGACGAAGTGTTACAAGTTATGACTAACTGTCCACCAACGTCACCAGATCTTATACAGTCAGATTGCGACAAAATGCACAAAACTGACAAAGGAGTACTGAGACATTCGGCGAACTGACACCTAGCTCCAACACTTCTCCAAGGCCCAAACCAACAACCTTCCAACTTGCAAGGTTCAGGTTCGGAAAAGTCCAAGAGGGGAAAGAAAGCGCAATGAAGAAGTGCACGAGCTACGCATCACGGCAACAAAGAATCACCACAACAAAATGCAGGCTTTTGGACTATTGATACCTGGCTGTGTATCTCTGAGTCTAAGATACATCAATTGCTATAGACTGCTCATATGCCTTCTTTTTGATGGCTGCTGTGCCTAAATTAGCTTATGTCAAAATTTGCCCACTACAGAACCCTCTGACTAAATATAATAGGATCATGCTTATGGGCAATACATCCATCCATGACCGTCCATACCAGGTGGAGTGATTACAGTGTGTGATTACTATTTGTTTTAGAACGATATAGCACAATCATTTATATTTCACAGAAACGGGTTGGCTTACTTGTCTGCAATAGCCTTTAACAGTGTCGTCAGCCTCTGCAAGAAGTATACCGGATTCCATGCTGTTGATTTAGAGCGCGAACAAGGAGAAGCACTGTTCAGGAGAGAGGAGAGTGTTGTGAAACGAGCTATCCATTGCCGCTAAATTTATAGGCACGACTGGTGTTGATGCTCAGTATGACTTGTCCAGTTGCGTAGATTTACATCGATCGCAGACTGTTAGTGGAATGGAGGAAAACACGTAGCTCAAAGGATTACTAATAATGGTCTTGTATAAGGTGAAGGTGTCACACAGTGCTTGTCGAGAATCGTTGTTTAAGTGACACAGTTACATGTACATGTATGTTCTCTTGTAGCTCCAGAATTGTACTTCCATGCCCCCTTCCCATCCACATGATGATTGCCAACCGAAGATTCTTGTTGTGCAGATGTCGTGTGTTCTTGTCTGGTAATAACCTGATGCGGTCAATAACCATTCCATTCTGTTCCCGGGGTATCAGCTTTGCGCTGATCTTATTCACTGGAACTACATGTACAATCACAGTTTGAGGATTGCTTGTGTTGGAGTTGTGGATTGTACAAAAACCTTTGAAGTTGGCAGTATTATTCCCAGTTCGGAGTTAAGAGTATAAATAACCAACGTTCCGACAAGATTCTCAGTACATTGTATTTCTCGCCGGCAGAGCGCAGCGAGATAGGCGAGAAATGATTTCTCGCGAGACATTTTCAGTTGTAAATATGGCATCTGGTGCGTTCTTTATTGTCGCTCCTTTTCTTGACTTCTTCACTTCAGTCAGTTTTGAGTCTCACCAGTGTCCCTGCCCTCCCACCCTTCAATTCTGCGCATATTATCATTGCATTGTTTATCACTTTTTGCCCTGATGTGCTTGCCATGCCTACATGATGCCTAATCGCCATTGGGGATATACATGTACACCCGGTTTATGTGGCAAGGAAACACAACATCTGCACAACATGTACAAAAATGTACTGCGCGTGTTCCACTGCTTGGCAAAGAGGCTGATAAACACCACATCTGCCTGACGCCAAGGGGGGGGGGTACTACTAAGCTATACGAGTATGCTGTACTTGTGAATGCACATTGCTTGCGAGTATAGTCATGTACTCCAGTACATGTGACTTGGATAAGAAAGGTGAGAACAGCTGAGGCTCCCTTTGTACTTTTGACAGGGTATCTTGTTTCGTAAAACGATCCGAGCCTGTCATCTCCTTCTGACATTAGATTCATAAATATATTGCCAACGAAACATGTACGCCTTTTTTATCTGCTACTGAATGCCATAACTGGCACAATTGGAACCTTGAATACTGTTCGTGAACCAAAATTCCGATCTATGTCCGCCAAACCACATACATAATACATGTTATTGTACATGTAGTAGAGGGGCAGTGATCAGTGATCAATGAGTGGTCACGGGTGCGAAGACTAGTAATAGGCCTTTCACACGACGAGAATATGTCACGGCTTCTCGGCCTCGCGAGAGGCTCACCAAGGACGCGACGGTGATCATCGATCTATTTCAAGTCTGAGTCGAAAACCCATAGCCTGCGACATCATAGCCCGCAACTACCTGGACCCCTGTTTGTGCGTTTTCGGTTTCGCGTTTCATGAACTGGATTGTATGCGCTGTGACTGCAGATCATGAACTGGCTTGTACAATCGTGTACTTTGTTGTATGCGCTGTGTCTGCAGAGCTAGACGTCGTGTCGAATATCATGCCGTGCATAGTAGAACCATAGCATAGTGCAATTGCGAGCACGTAGCGTCGTGTGATAAGGCTATCAAAGGGCTATAAAACGTGAAGTCGAGCGGTGCAAAGTAGGACACAATCTTTCGAAGCTTTCTGTCTTCTCAGTCAAGTTTTTCGTCTTGCAAGGAACGATCAAGATGAGCATTGGACCTGTTCTGGGAGATGACACGTTGATCCCCTCAAAATGGTCGTCTCCAAGACCTGCCACTGACGATGTTCAGGGGCTCTGTAACCGAGTAAGTTCATATTGGCTTCGCAATAGACCTATATAATATTATAATATCTTCTTTCCTCTTACTTGTAGAATATGTAGGTGACTATATGTTGTGACAATTTAGTGGCACGCAGAATTATCGAAGACCAATAGTTTAAAAAATATGGAATTGCCTTCCACCCAAGATTACCGTTATAGATTCTGTTTCAGAATTTCGAATAATCGGTGCGGGGACAATAACTTTAATAACGCACTAAGCAGAATCAGCGAAGCGGACATTGGACGTAGCCATGAACAAAAATAAAAGATGGATCAAAAAAGTTAAATCAAAAAGTTTCCGAACACGTTTTCTAGAGACATTCATCAGGGAAAATACGACTCAATACTGAAATCTAGCAATACACAACGATATGTACGTGGAAGAGTACGAAATGCAGTATGTGAAAATAAAATACAAGAGAAGTGTGAACTAATAACAGGGGTGGGCAGGTGAGAAATAATATCAATGTGAGACCCAGAGAGGGTGAAGTGTAAGGAGTTCGCGCATGGGTATGTGGGTGGGTGTATGTGTGTGTGAATGCTAAGAGAATACTAGTAGTTTAAGTTTAATGACATTTTCTGCCTGGATGCATAGATTGGGGTAAAGTTTCCGAATGAAAACAGCTTCCAATACTTAGTCTTTAAGTTCACTAAACCTACGAACACGGCAAAAAACTGTGGAACAAGAGTCATCAGAAATTGAACGGCACTGACTGTTGGACAGCAGGTGTTTCTTTATAGTGGATCTCTTTCCAGTATCATCACCCTCACCTTGCATCTGTCCACTGTTGGCCTCAACATCCTCGTCCTGCTATCCATAACTGCCAGTACCTTCATCGTCCGTGGTCTGCCGATCCTCATCCTCCGTCAATATTGTTGTCAAGTCCGTTGCTGCTTCTGGTCCATGTCCATTGGTGGAATTCATTCGTGTTGATCGAGTCATGCTGCGTGTTATTGGTCGATGTGCTTCGGGTTGGTTATCATCTGGGCTGTCTGTTAATCGTGTAGTCTCCTCAGGTAAAAGTTGGCGTTTAGTCATGTGGCCCAGAATCTGCGAAAACCAGGCTTAGGGTGAAAATCATTTTTTTGTGAAAGTGATGTTTTGTAAAAAGGTTGTGTCGCGTGGACGATCGAGTGCAGTGAAGTGGAACCAGAGAGAATCTCGCTTGTTTGAAAAAGTAGCAGTCATTGCAGGAAAGGTTTCAGCAGTCAGGGTAGTCAAAGGGCTTCCGGTAGAATATTCCCTGCTACTCCTCTAGTCACAACGAAGAGGTTTTGAGCTGATCCAACGGATTCCATCTCCTACACTCAGGGATGGCGAAATTTCTGCGCTAGCTGCTGCTTGCGGAAAATGGTGAAGAAATCGTCTCCAGTTAGAGTCGTGATGGCGATAGCGAGGAGAACCTGGACGACATCGATCCAGCCAATCGTAGTACGGAGATACTAGCTGTTTCTGGGCCTCACGCAAAGGGAACACGCGCAGCAGAGCTCATATGTTTGCAGCAAGTTCACGAGGAAAAGTCTTGAAGCGCAGTGTGAAAACTGTTTTGAATTGAAGTCCTTGGCGATGAAGTGCTACTGAGTGAATGACAGGTGAATGAGCGAGCAGATCGAGAGGCCCCCACTCGAGACTTCCTCGCTGGACAGCTAGCTGCAAGGGATTGTACGGCGTGCTGATATCAATTTTCACTTGGTGGTCAGCACCAAGCAGATACTGCAGCACGCCAGCACACTATGCGCTTACTATGAAAAGTGGAACAGTTTGAAAGGCTGTGTTCTTGTTTGTTTCTGACCAGTTGTACTAGATTCACCCTTCAAAAGGTGCCATGTCAACTGGAGTCGGGTTTCCTTGCGGTGTGTAGCGCCAGAGGATGCCAGTACATGTATTCAGCCCCAGAATGTGCTGAGTGAGGAGCAAACAAAATATTCATGCAGAACTGTGCATGGCCACTACAGGCTGCTGCACCATGGGCCACAAGCCTGCCCCTACATGTACATGTACATGCCTACCTTGTCATGTCACCTAAACAAAAAATCATCCATGTCTCTTCCTTCAGTCTGGTGGATCTCTCTTCATTTCTTTCCTGTGATAACAATTTTGTGTTTCTTTTGGATTTTTTAACACAATCCCCTGGTGTGTTTTATTATTATTATTATTATTATTATTATTATTATTATTATTATTATTATTTTAAACTCGGATGTTGAGCCATAAATAAATGTAGAAGAGAAAAGGACATATGGATACGAGTTAAGAGTAACTCTCCATCACTGTAACATGATAATATATACAGTCAGAAAGTGCAATAACTAGGCACAAAACTGACAGAGTACTGAGACAGTCGACGTCCTGACACCTAACTTCAACACATGTCCGTAGCGCTAACCGACAGCCTTCCAACTTGGAAGGTTCAAGGTTTTGGAAAGACCAAAGAGGGGAAGGCAAGCGCAACGAAAACGAGCAAAAGCTACAGTCCCAACGGAACAAAGAATGTCGATTGTTACTGGACGATGACGAGACCAGTATGATATTTGACAAAGCGGTCTAACTACAATTCGAAGCAGCAAAGCAGCACACCACCCAACTTGGGTGGGTCATAAATATCAAAGATAAGTAAAGAAAGGGAAGCTTTGCGAAAACGAATTGTACAAGCCGAAAGCCAAACTCCTACAGTACTCCTCATGCATGACATTGTGATGGACTAGTTGACTACAAAACAAGTTGTTTCACACGACGTACGTTTCGCCGTATGGTTCGTGACGGCTCATCAGGTGTGCAATTTTAAACTCGGATGTTGAGCCATAAATAAATGTAGAAGAGAAAAGGACATATGGATACGAGTTAAGAGTAACTCTCCATCACTGTAACATGATAATATATACAGTCAGAAAGTGCAATAACTAGGCACAAAACTGACAGAGTACTGAGACAGTCGACGTCCTGACACCTAACTTCAACACATGTCCGTAGCGCTAACCGACAGCCTTCCAACTTGGAAGGTTCAAGGTTTTGGAAAGACCAAAGAGGGGAAGGCAAGCGCAACGAAAACGAGCAAAAGCTACAGTCCCAACGGAACAAAGAATGTCGATTGTTACTGGACGATGACGAGACCAGTATGATATTTGACAAAGCGGTCTAACTACAATTCGAAGCAGCAAAGCAGCACACCACCCAACTTGGGTGGGTCATAAATATCAAAGATAAGTAAAGAAAGGGAAGCTTTGCGAAAACGAATTATTATTATTATTATTAATACTCATAAAAAGGACACACTTCAGGCTCATTACAAACATCTTGAAAGTTTTTGTCTTCACAAGTATACTTTCAAGCCTTCTCATCAGGTGAAATACAGGCAAGGGAAAAGGAACAGGAACAGTGGATTAAATACATGTACAGTAAGAAGGTGGTAAAACAGCGCAAAAAAAGAAAGAAAGAAGATAGCTAAAGTAAACAGCGAAAATTGCAATAATGACACAAAGGTGCAAATGCGAGAAAACGCAATAAGCGCGACATGTATTATTACTATTATGAAATGACCCAAAGGCAATGTGCCTATTGAGGGGTTCATTTGATTGAAAGACCAGTAGGTGTAGATGCATGTACAAAGACAAGCAGGGATTGATGAGGAGAGAAATGGGGGAAAATCAACTGCAAGGTGGCGGAATTCCGTTGATTGCATAAGCATGGACAGCTGTAAATTTCCTGAGGGCAGCTTTGAACTTATAGAGCGAGGCTTCCGATGTTAGACTGGGGGTAAACAGTTTCATAGAATAGCAGTTCGGAACATGAAGAGAGACTTAGACAATGATTTAAACTTGGGAAGAATGATTTTTTTTGGTCGTTGCTCACTATTCGTAATCTTGAAATGGAAATCAGCAAGGTAATCACGATGATGGAAAAGTATCTGTAAAAAGTGTGAGACTGATGATTTGACGACGATAGGCTAGTGACTCTAGGGAGCATTTAGAATTTAAGACAGATTTGGAAGAAGTGTAATCAAATGCAATTTTTTTCTCTTTCTGTAGAGCTCTAGCAAACCTTGCCTGTAATTGATCAAGAGTGGTTTCTTATTAGATCCAAACGACCACACCGTGCAGCTATATTCGATCACAGGTCTTACGAACCCTTTGTACAGTATGATCATTGCCGAAGGCGTAAGTTGCCGGGACATTATTCACAGTAGGTGCACTCTAGGTGTTGGCGGATAGTTCTCGGTAATATGGGATATAGTGCTCTCAGTAATGCTCCACAAAAGGCCATATAATACTCCAAATAATGCTGATAATGCTCCGCCGAATGGAATATATATACACCTGAACCTTGCGGTATTGGCTCCCCAAGGTGAGTGCTTCCATCAAATACTACGGAAAAAACCGGGCCTCTTTCAGTTCTTCCTTCAGCTGCTTCACTTCCTCCTCTAGGAGGAGCGGCACATAGAGTGACAAGTGGCTCGAGTCAGTCAATCTTTCGTTTCTGTCAGGTTTCAAAAGCGGTCGTAAGTAATCAACCTTTGCGAGTGAGATTCCTGCTTGCAACACAGCACGCACAATCTGGATCCGCCGCAGAGACTCGGCTGAACTAACGCCCTCAGTAAGACCAGTGCCAGCTAGAGCCTTCCGAAGTCGTAACACAGCACGCACAATCTGGATCCGCCGCAGAGACTCGGCTGAACTAACGCCCTCAGTAAGACCAGTGCCAGCTAGAGCCTTCCGAAGTCGTTTCTGATACGCCAAGAAGGACTCCTTGACCAGCTTCTGCCTCTGAGTTTCCCTCTCCAAATGGGACTTTCCTTGTTTGTGTCTCGCGGTAGCAATAATGGGACATGATTATACTCTTCTTCCCTGACAATGTTGTATGGCATGCCAGGCACACTAACCTGCCACAGTCGCTTTTGAGCGGCTCATCTGGGAACTCCCGCAAACGTGTTTCGGCACTGATGGCCACTTCAGTGCTCTGTCTATGTCCATGAGCTACTCGCGTCC